CGGGCTCTCCTCCTTCACGATCTTGAAGTTCTCGCCCAGCGCCTCGATGACCTTATTCTTCAGGTCCACGATCGAGGCCTCCTGGTCGCTCTTGAAGATGAAGTGCTTCACCCCCGTGTACTCGATGGCCTCCGCCACCCACTTGATGATCCAGACATCCTTCGTGCCCTTGCTCGTCACGGCGATCGATGCGGTCCATCGCCCCTTGTGTTCCCGCATCACCAGTGTAGGTTCTGCTCGCTCGTCGTCTCCTCCAAAGAACGTGTAGTCGATGGAGATCGTGTTGACCAGATGCTCTCGCTCGGCGTCCAGTCGCTTATGATCAGCATTACGGCCGCGTCCTCCCACGCAGTCGCCGCACCATGCCCTGAACTGCGCGTGCCCTGCCGCCTCGTGCGCCTCGCGCTCGGCCATCGTCGGCTCGAACGGTCGTGGTGCCACCGTGACCGGTGGGTCGCCCATATCGTCATCCTCCTCGTCCTCCAGCTGGGCCTCCACGGGTTCCGCCGCTGCCGGCGCTGCCGAAGAGCTCCCGCCTCCAGCACTCGGTCTTACTGCCGCGCAGGCCGGCTGTTTCCCGACACTGCGCTGAGGTCCGGAGCCGACCGCTCCTGACCAGTGACCTTCTTCAGCTTGATCGTGTATACTCCACGTCGTAGGTGGATCGGCAGCCTCCTGCCGCTCGCGATGTGCTTCAGGTAGCACTCCCTCGGCCCGAAGTAAACCTCGTGGCCCTTCGCCACCAGCTTCGACACCGCCAGCAGCATGCGGTGCACTCCGGTCGATGTGCATCGCAGTCTCCTCGTGCTGCCGTCCTCCGCCATGACTTCGAGGATCTTCTCGCCCTCGTCCTGCACCAGCTGCCCGTTGGCCGCCCGGTAGCTCGTGCCCATCTCGCTGGATACCGTCGGCCTCGTCCTCACATCCGTGAACCAGGTGTTCGGGACGACGCTCTCTGCCGCGCCGGAGTCCACAGCCGCGTAGAAGAACTCCTCCGTTACGTCGTCCACCGCATTCAGCTCCAGGGTGCACAGGTCCAGCCCGCCGATGTTGCCCGGCTGCTCGGTCTCCGGCTCCTGCTTGTCGTTCGTCTCCAGGCTGTGGGCCCCACGCTTCGCTGGTTGCTGCTGCCCACGAGACGTTGGGCAGTCCTGACGCTTGTGTCCCCAGCCCCAGCACAGCGAGCAGTAGCCTTGGAACCCTTGTTGCTGTTGCTTGTCTGGCTGACCTCCAGGTCGCGGCCGAGACGGGTAGGGTGGAGGCGGCCTGTCCTTGAACTTCTCCTTGCCCTTCTTGCCTTCGCCGCCCTTGCCGTCGCCCTTGCCGCCGCTCTTGCCGCCGCCCTTCGGGCGTTGAGGACTCTTGTGGGCGCCGCCGCCCGGTGCCCAGCAGTCGACCTTCATGCGGCCCTTCTTCCCGCAGTTGTTGCAGGTAATGTCCTTCTGGCCGAGGCTCCCGACGTCCATGGGCGAGGCCATCTCGTTCACCTTCGACTCCAAGTAGCTCTGGATCTCCTCCCTCGCGCTCAGGTAGGTCTTCATCTTGTTCGCGTTGAGCGCCAGGTGGTCCTTCAACGCGCCCTTCGTCATGCTGACGAGCACCTGCGCCTTGATGTCCTCCTGCATCGGTTGGCCAGCTCGCCTCTCGTAGACTCGAAGCCTTTCCTCCCACTTGGCGATGTGGCTGTTCAACTGTGGAGCGTCGACCGCCCCCGGCTGGATCAGCGAGCCCAGGATGTTCCGCCTCCTGCCCGCTCCTTGCGGATCGAACCTCCGCGACACCACTCGCCAGGCCTCGAAGCCGTCGTTGTCCTTCGTCGACTGCACCAGGTCCAAGGCTTCGCCATCCGTGAGCTGCGCCAACACTGTGTACAGCTGCCTGCCGATCATCTTTAAGTCCGCATCTTCGTTCTCTTGCGTGAAGATCTCCTTGATATCGTCCAAGTTGTCCTGTGTCAGCGCTTCCTCCTGGTCCTGGACGTAGTCCAAGGCCTCCTTGATGCCGCTGACGACGCCCTCCATGAAGTTCTGTAGCTTGAACGCCCATGAACTCCAAGACTTCATGTCGCTGTTGTAGACGCTCGGCTTGCCGATTCCCTTCACGTCCACTAGTTGAACTCGTTTCTTGGTCGATTCTCTCTCTGTGATGATCGTCTGCTGCAGCCTCGTCATCGCCTCTAGGTCTTGCATCCGTTGGGCCTGTACTGTATTCACTAGATCCCGCTGTCTCGTCAGCTCCGCCGTCAAGTCTCTCACCTGCACGGTCAGCAGCTCCAGTTGTTGCTCGGGCGTGCCCATTACCTCGACAGAGTAAGGCACTCACGGAGTCGCCCTCGTAGCTCTCGGGTGCCCAGCCGTTGAAGAAACTGTCCGATGTGGCCCCAGTAGCGCTGTAATCTCCGTACTCGCCAGAGTTGTTCGCACACAATCCACCAGCGCTCTCGTACCGACAGGTTCCTCCTGCTGCGCCGCACCACAAGCCAATCAGCTTTACCACAAAGCTCTTCGTCGCTACTATCTTGGCGCCGCGCGCCGGAAGATGTAGGAGTAGATGGAACGGTGCGGTTGCCGGATCGTGATGAACCAGCTCCTGCTACCATGATTGGATGGTTTTGAACCAACACGACTGCGGAGCGAACCCCCGCATCACAATCTCTCACAGTTCCTTTCCAAGGGATATGTACTATGCACTGATACAAAAACTACTCAAACATAATCAAAATTGGTAGGAAAATCGGCCCCAGACTACATCTTGGCTATTTTTGGATACTCCTCCTGCAGAGGGAGGTGCCCGACCTTAAGCGTCGTTCGAACGTGGTGGACACCGCAGGACGGACCTTTTGCGGGTGTTGCGAGCGCGGCGCCCGCAGGAGGGAGAGAAGGCCGAAGATATCGGGAAAACAAACCTACCTCGCTTTTGAACACCCTCGCTTCCAAGAGATACCAAACGATGCCAAATTGCAGCCTGTACTGGCCAGGTCGCTTCACGAGGAGGCGCGTGGCATGGCTTGGTTTTGCCTGGAAGCGAACGCGGGGTGGGTAGTTCACGCTCTGAGAGGAGCCGGCAGGGAGAGAAGGAGGAGGAGGAGGAGGAGGAGGAGGAGGAGGAGGAGGAGGAGGAGAGAAGGAGGAGGAGGAGGAGGAGGAGAAGGAGGGGGGGAGGGTAGGGGAACCATAATATTAAAACCTGGAGTAGGAGGAAGAGGAGGAGGAGATGAGGAGGAGGAGGGAGGAGTAGGCGAGTGTGCGGAGAACCCAGGCGTGTGACGGATGGGGCCGAACTGGGGAAAAAACAAAAATGGCCCCAGTGAAAACAAAAAAAAAAACAAAAAAAAAAAACAAAACAAAGGCCCTCGACTCGCCGCCCCGATGCCGTTCTCCCTTTATTTTTTTTTTTGCCGGCCCCGGAGCCCGAGAGCAGCCCCCCAGGGGGCGGCAAGGGCAACAGCGGCTGCTGGGTCGAGGGCATGCCCGCTGCAAGCAGAGATTTCTGGGGGGACGATCAAGACAGTCCAAGCATGCTCAAAGCTACAGGGCAGTTTTTACGATGTATGATCTTTTACACATAGGATTGGTAATCCATGAATAATGTATGAGTACATGTATGCATGCACTCATATTTGTTTCAATACTAAAGCCCTGCATGTGTAATACATGATCCGCACGCGGAGCATGTATTCGAAACGGCACTCTAGTGTGAACAAACAATACAAACATCGTCCCCAGATTTTGTCTCGATGATTTCTGGATATTCCCTGCTGTGGAGGGGCGCGCCGGACTTGAAGCAACTGTCCCGAGCCCAACACCTTCGGGAGCGGCCAAGAGGGGGGCGTCCAAGAGGGGGGGGTGCAAATCATGACCGGCGGCATGTGCGCGGCCCCGCGGGGGGGGCAGGGGACGTAATGAAACAAGAAGAGGCGCCACGAAACCTGGGGAGATATTATGGCCCCCGCCATGAGATCCCCCCCCCCTAGTCATCACCCCCCTCTTTGCCGCCCCCGACCAACCTGGAACCTGCCCACCCCCCTCTCCTGCCGGCCGGAACCGGTGCTGGGCCACCGCAGACCCCCAGCCGACTCCCAAGGCCGAGAAGGCTTCCACCACCATCGTCGACCTGAGTTACAATCAAAAACCCGAATAACAACGCGCGATTTTGCTCAGGGTACCCTTGCGTCCTTGCCCTTCCTTGCTCTTGCGTCCTTGAGGTGTTCGTCGCCCGCCACCCCAGAAATCACAACTTCGGCCTCCAAGGGTCTTGCGTCCTTACCGCGCGTCCTTATTAGGGTTTTTGACTGCACGTTGCTCCCATCGTACTTCAGGACCAGATCCCAGCAATAATCTCGAGCACCGAGAAAACAGTGTCGAACGAGTATCGCCTCCCAGGGCCCGACAAGGACAAACACTCAAATTTCGGCATGTTCCCGGTGCTCGAATTTTTTTCTGGCGACCAAAAGGCTAGAGTAGGTTGGAACATTATCAAGGGAGAACAGCATCATGCAGTGCAGAGCCTGGATTTCAGCAGCTTGCCCTGCGGCCTACATAACTACTTCCCACTGCGACGCACATGCCCCTGCACTCGCCCTGGCCGGGTGCGCCTCGCACGGGGCCCAACGAGCGGCAGACCTTCCTCGTCCTCCTCCCTCCCCCTCCTCCTCCTCCTCCTCCTCCTCCTCCTCGTCTTCCTCCTCCTCGTCGTCCTCCTCCTCTTCTTCCTCATCCTCCTCCTGATTTCTCCCCTGGGTTCGTCGCCGAACGTGTTTGGAAAGAGGGGAGAGCCAGACATGCGACGTCCTGATGTTTTTCGGGACGGCGTCCCTGGAAATCCCGACCCTTCCCCCGGGACCGGCTTTTTCATCCTGAATCGTTTACTGGCGCCCCCGAGGCCCAGCGAGGGCCCCCCCCTGGGCCGAAAGCTAGCAAAAGCCTCCGTCCTGATTTTGCTACGACGCGATCGTGTCCGGGGAGGGACAGGGCGAGACGGAGGAAACGAAGGCCGGGGGCCTGCCAGCTGCACGCGGTCTGGCTCGGCGAAGTCGAAGGGCGGCTGCTGGCCGGACGCCGGGGGGGCAGCCAAGGGCCAGCGCAGGGCGCGCAAGGAGCACGCCCCCCGCCCCCCCCCCCCCTCCGCACCTGGACGTCGCCATGGAAAACTCCCAGATCTCCGGGGATTATGTTGCTCCCACCGTACTTGAAGACCGCACCCCCCGAATGATTCCGAATTCCAGACAAGTGTCGAAGCAGTGTCGGACGAGAGAATATCCCAGGGCCTGACAAGTGAAAACGTTCGAGTTTCGGTACTTGTGGTGCTCGAAATTCTTTCTGGTCATCAAGGCTAGAGTAGGTTGGAACATCATAATCCGAGGAAATGATTTCCTCCTACACGGTGACGAGATGAAAACTCCGAATTTCTTGATATCCCTGTGCCCCCGATAACCCCCTAAGGATACAAAGTGACGGGGCCTGGCGGAGATAATCAACGATTTTCCCGGCCAAAGTGATTATGATGATGACGATGGCGACGATGGTGATGATGATATGATGATGATGATGACGATGACGATGATGATGATGATCCTGGGCGTTCGTGTAGACTGACCTTGTAGATCTTGGCACAAGATGGACTCGAGAGATCTCGAGTCTCGTGGCTACAACTTGCCTGCGCAAGAGAGGTCCTTGGCGCTCCTGGCCAAGAAACCTCTCTTGCGCACGATCTCGAACCACTCGCCCATGCAGGCCCAGCACCCTTTGGAGCCGTCCTTGTACGGGAAGCACTTGGTGCAGACCTGGGCGGCAGCGCTTGCCTCCTCGAAGGTGGCGTGCTTCGGCTCGACCGCCGTGGGGTCCTTGAAGGGCTTGGACTTGGCCTTGCTCTTGCTCTTGGCTGTTGCTAGTCAACATGAGATGATAGCAACTTCGATTCGCAACTTCTCCCGGGGATCATCAAGTTCGGCCTCCGCGCCCTCTCCACAATCACAACCAGTTGACACGGGATATAAGAAAATGAAGGGGGAATGGGGGGGGTATGATATCTTATCGGGGGCGCTGGGTTACGCGTCCGGGGGGCGTCACCCCCGCCGACAACCCCACATCGACCCCCGCGGGCAGCCACGCTGCCGCGCGCCGAAAGCACTCCGACCCGCGTCGCGGCGCGACGACGAAGCGAGTTGGGGTCCCCCCCCCTTGATAAGAAACCCAAGGTACACATCCACTGCTCCCTGGCCAGGCCCATCCTGAACTCAGCACCTATGTGGCCAAGGCAGGAGGGCGTCGCGTACGCACCGCTGCCCGGTTCAGGATGGGCGTGGCCAGGGAGCAGTGGATTTGTATAAATCTCGTCGCATCTAAGTCTCGTCGTCATGGAGAACTCCCAGATTTCCGACGATATCAGGGAAGCAAGCTCTGTACACCGGCACTCTTTCGCTCTGCACGGACACGTGCAACTTGCACAAGCAAGCGGGTCCTGGTGTATACGGGCTTCGGGTGTATACTTGTTTCGCTGTGCCCCCGGGAAACAGAAGAGTATACACCGCACCACCCCGACGTCGCCCCTGGCCCTCAAGGAAAGTCCTGGGATTGAGAAACAGCCCGCCAATGGTAATGTACATGTTCCAGTTTCCAAGAAACTATTCCCTAATAGCGCCTCGCTGGAGGTTGCTGACATTAGGTCGAGCATGTCCTCTAGACTCTTCCAGGCGGATTTGAAAGGAAAAATGAAAATAGCCAGAACAAACAAAGATAATCAAAAATAGTCAAAGAATCGTGCCCTGACTGTGTTTCTATTATTTTTTGATATTCTTCCTGTAGATGGACATGCCCGATTCATTGCTAACAGTCGGGGATCTTCTGACCCGGGTCAAACCAGACCTGTGTCAGTCAGGCCTTCCAGAATCAGTCAAGATCCTCCACAATCCTGCACCCAAACAGGGGTCAACGCGAAGGACCCTGCAAGATCCTGCAGGATCCTGCACCCAAACCCGGGTCAGTGCGAGCCTGGCCCTGCAGGATCCTGCAAGATCCGGCGCTCTGGCTGACCCCCGCTTGCATTGACCCTTATCTCAACGCTCCCGATTCCTGCCTCGACTTCACCCGCCCGCCATGCCTCGTCCCCGCTGGCTTCTACATTAAGGGAACAAGAAGTGACATAAACATAAAAGCTCGGAGGTCCGCGCGGATTTCTCGGATCGGCGCTGGGGCCCCCCGGCGGCGCCTCGGCAGGAGCGCACTCGGAGTAGGTCGGGCGTGCCCCCCTACAGGGGGATTTTCGACGAAAAATTTTAAAATACTAAACAAATTTAAATTTAAAGATAGTCAAAGAATTGTCCCCAGACTATTTTTCAACTATCTTTGAATATTCCTCCTGTAGAGGGACAGGCCCGACTTACCATTTGGAGCGCGAGGCGCTTCTGGGCAACGATAGTGTGGAATACGCAGAGGGAGGATGCATCGACCTGGAACGGCGATGCATCGCCGATAGATCGGCGACAGGCCCCCGATAGCGAATCCGCACCTTCCTGGGCGGGGTGGGGCTAGCGGGCCCCTGTCGGCGATCAGTGGGCGATTGGAGGTCGATGCACCCACCCACCCCCCCTGTGCCTACCCCCTCCTGTCGTTGCCCCCGAGCAGAGGGGGGAACGGCAGGTTCGCGTCGTGTCGACCCCCGGCGTTGGTTCCTGACACCGCAGGGATCGTTCAAGCTTGAACGATCGGCCGTTCCGTGAACGCCGCGTCGTTGAACGACGGGCCGATTCTGGGCCACGGGCGGCATTCAACCGTAAACGCACGCGCTGGGGTCGCCGCCTGTCGGCACGACGCGAACCTGCCGTACGGGGAGGGGGGAAGGCTTCTCAGAACGGGGCTGCTTGTTAGACGGCGCCGGCCTTACATGTATAGAGAGGGCCCGCGCCTTCTTAGAAGCAGGGGTGCTTCTAAGAAGCTGTCCCCCTTTGCTCTACCCTCGTCCGCGCGTGGCCGAATGTCCTAAGGACGGGCGTTAAGGGAGCAAGACCCTTGGAGGCCGAAGTTGGCATTTTTTAGACGGCGGGCGACCACCCTGAGAGTGGGGCCAAACCTGCTGGAATATACGGAGTCAGCTTGCCATCGCTCGGACGTCCACTCGCCGTGTATTCTTCGGGGTCGTGCGCTCTCTTCTCTCCTCGCAGGATGAGCCAACATCCTCCTCGATGGTCCCCACCGAAAAAAGGCACACGCCCGAGCGATGCCACGTCGTCCCAAAACAGCGACGGCGACCCGCGGATCTGGGGAGACCAAAAGGTACCCGTACCGCTACTCCCTGGACCTCTCCCGGGGTGCGATCTGACCGAAATTTCGAAGCGAATCCAGCGGTAGCGACGAGGGCCTCCCAAAAACGGGAAGGGTAGCAGTGTGAGCACCTGTTCCTCCTCTGGGGATCGCCCAGGACGTCCTCGCGACGTGACGACGGCGCCGCAGACGCCTTGAATAGGGCTGGGGCCTGGGGGGTCAGGTCTGCAGAAGACCCCGACCTGTTCAGTCAAGCTGAAATTGATGATGCACCACACTCGGCGTCCAATCAAAACTTTGGACATCAGCGAATGGCTGGATGTTGCCCATCCTCGCCCGCTTGACCGGCGACGCGTTGGACCACCTTGACGTCCCTTGTCTGGTGGTCCTGCAGAGGAAGGCGCTCTCTGACACGCGGCCCCACTCAACAGACGCTTGACGAGCGCGCTCCACTGCCCGCAAAATAAATGCTCTCGCAAATGGGGGGGATCTACGATACATTCCACCGAAGCAGACATGTATGTTTCGGACGTTTGCGAGTACCCTGGGTTTCTTAGCACGTGTGGGGGGAGTACTTCCCCCGACGGGGTCAACCTCGCCTCGTCGTCGCGCCGCGACGGGGGTCGGAGCGCCTTCGTCACACGGTGACTACCCGCCACGGGGGTCGATTCGGGGCTGTCGGCGGGGATGACGCCCCCCCCCCCCCCGACGCTTATCAAGAAACTCGGAGTAGCCTTCCCCAGGCATGCGACGTCCTGATTTTGTGCAGGACGGCGTCCTTGGAAGTCCCGACCCTTTCCCGGAGGCCAGTTTGACGCCCCCGAGACCCAGCGAGGACCCCCCGAGGCCGAAAACTGACAAAAACCTCCCGTCCTGATTTTCTTACGACGCAATTTGCGAGTAGGCACATTGCGGAACGCGCGGCAGGGGGAGAGGAGGAGGAGGAGAAGGAGGAGGAGGAGGAGGAGGAAGAGGAAGGAGGAAGAGGAGGAGGAGGAGGAGGAGGAGGGGGAGGAGGAGGAGGTAGGTAAGAGGAGGAGGGGAGGGGGGAGTAGAAAGGTAGGTAGTGTAGTGTGAAGAGTGTGGAGGAGGTTTGGTGAGTGGAGTAGTGAGGATGGAGTGTTGTGTTGGTTGAGGCGCGCGCCCTGGTTTTGTCGAGTAGAACGCCGTGCCTTTGGCTCTTGAGGTCGTTGCCAGCAAAAGGGCGTCCGCGCGACCCTTGTCTTGCCTTGTGGGTCGTGGCCTGTCGACGGCGTCGCCGGGTGCATCTCGCTGGGGTCCCGGGTGAGCGGCCCCGCTCGGGGCCTGCCGCCTCGGAGTCGCCGGTGCAGGTGAAGGTCTTCGAGTTCGGTGCAATTGTTCCTCAGCTGCTATGTGGTAAGGCCACGGAAGGAATAGGGATGAACAAAAAAAATAAGCATTACCCCTAGATATCAGAGTGCAAGTGCTCAATTACAACATTCGTCCCTCCAGACTCTATTTGTTTTCTGTTTTTTAACTAGTTTGGGATATTGCCCCCCTGTGGGGGGAACAGGCCCTCTCGAACGGTGAGTGAGGGAGGAGGAGGAGTGGGGGGGCCTGGCAACAGTCCACAGGGGGGCAGGGGGCCTCAGGGGGGTACTCCTCCTCCCTCCCGCCCTCCCTGCTTCCCTATCTCCCTGCCTCTCTCCCTCCCTCCGTCCCTTCCTCCTCCTCCTCCCCATTCCCTCCTCCTCCTCCTCCTCCTCCTCCTCGTTTTTCTTCCTCCTTTCCCTCCTCCTCCTCCTCCTCCTCCTCCTTCTTATTTTTCCTCCTCCTCCTCCTCCTCCTCCTCCTCCTGCTCCTCGAACTCATCCTCCCCACGCCCCCCCACGCCTGCCCCCGTTCTCTCCCCCTCCCCCCTTCCCCTTCCTCCCCCTTGCACCCCACGACCGGGGGGGGGGCAGGCCGCGGCGGGGGAACCGGCGGCGGCCAGGGGCAGAGGGCGCCGGGACAGGACAACGCGAGACGAGCATTTCCTAAGATTGGGTTGGCCATGAGCCCCCCCACGTACGATGCTGAAACCTGCATCGCCGTTACCTGCATCGCCGTTGGCGTTCGGGGACCTGCTGACCAGGGTCGGTCCAGACCCAGGGGTCAGGCTGCAGGATCCTGCAAGCTCCTGCAGAATATCCTGGGAGAGCCCCGAACAATACAACACCACCAGCCCCGGACTGGTGTACAGGCCCCCCTGGCCCAGGCCTGGAGGTCTGTACACCAGCCCAGGGCCCAGGTTGGGCCTGGCCAGGGCTGGTGGTGGTGCATTGCTGGCGTCCCTCCGAGATCCTGCACCCTCGTCCGGGTCAGTGAACCCTTGGCCCTGCAGGACCCTGCAAGATCCGGCGCTCTGACTGACACCCGTTTCGGAGGAGGAGGAGGAGGAGGCAGGAGAGTCCAGAATCGAACAGATAAGTCGAATTGGCGATCGAAATGAATCGGATCGGCAGGAATCGGCAGCCAAGTCGGGAGGAGTCGAATCGGCGGAAGTCGGCAGAGTAGTAAGGCCTCATTCGGGAATCGGAATCCAAATCGGAATCCGAAGTCGAGGAGGAGGAAGAGGAGGAGGAGGAGGAGGAGGAGGAGGAGGAGAAGGAGGAGGAGGAGGAGGAGGGGGAGGAAGAGCAAGAGGAGGTTGTAGGAGGTAGGAGGGACAGGGAGGTTAGGTTTTTAATGGAGGGAGCTTGTGCGGATGGAGGAGTATAGGGGAGGGACCCTCCTGTTGAGGGAGTATGAGAGTAGGGTAGTTTGTGTAAGGAGGTAGGATGTGAGTTGAGAGGAAAGGAGAAGGAGGAAGAAGAAGAGGTTGTGGAGGAAAAAAACTCGAGCAGGGGGAACCGACCGTCCCCGCACTCGTGCCAGGTCTGCCACGGAGTGTTTTGACAGTCGGACCTAGGACAGGCGAGCACCCCTCAAGAACATGAGGCCCTCCGTCGGCCAAAGCACACAGAACATCCAGGGGTACACTCCCCAGGATGCACAGGAGCATCCAACAGCCACGGAGAGCACTGAGGTACCCGCTCCGAACCGGCCTCGATCGTATACCTCGGTCCGACTGCAGAACAACACAATGCTCGAATGACAAGAACAAGGAGTTCTTGACAGCATGAAACACATGTAAACAATCTCGGCCAGACATGTTCTGAGAACATTCCGTGCGAGCCAGAACAGGTTCTTACGACATTCTTTTATGGGCCCACAGGCAAGCCAGGACGCTTCGCCACTGCTTGACACGTGCTTCCTGACCTGCGCCGCGTCGGCGTCGGTATCGTGGTCATCGACTCGGCTTCCTTGATTCATCGCAAGATCATGAACGGCCCCTTGACTGGCAGAAGGCAGACGGCCCATCGTGGTGAGCTGCTAGGGTTGGCTCTGTGCATGGAGCTCCCCACCGGCTGTGTGATCCACGTGACGGGCAACCTCGCGGTCCACGACGGCTGGTGACAGCGCACAAACAAACAACCACGTGGGCCTGATCATGGCCGGTGGTGGCGCCCTGGCCTTGCAGCTCCGAGCCGCGAACGCAGCACAGCCTGGGTCATCCAGGTCAACTGGCATCTCGCAGCGCAGGAGACGGGGAGGAGGGAGGGGAGGGTGAGGAGGAAGAGGAGGAGGAGGAGAAGAACGAGGAGGAGGAGGAGGACGAAAAGGAGGAGGAGGAGGAGGAGGAGGACGAGGAGGAAGAGGCGGAGGAGGCGGCCTGTTCTCGTCAGCGGCCGCCGACCAAGCGGCGGGGCAGGAGGCCCAGATCGAGGCCCCTCCCCTCGACGGGCGGCCGGGGCCGCGCCGCCACCGTCGAGCAGGCGGCCGCGGCGGTGTGGCGGCGGCTGCTGCGGCCGACGGCCGGGGAAGCGGCCCCTCGACGCCATGCCCGAGGAGCAGCGGGCGGCTCGGCGGCAGCGCCACGGCGAGGGCCCTCTGGCCGCGCCGCCTCGGCGGACCCCCGCGCGCCGCGTCGGCGGCCGGGCGGCGGCGCGGGCGCCGAACACCGCCGCCGTGCGTCGCGAGGGCCTCGGCGTGCCGCCGGGGCACCGCCGCCCTGCGGCTGCTGCAGCCCCCGTGGGCGGGCGCCTGCTGGGCGGCGGGCTCGCCCGCGGGTGCCCACCCCGTCGGGCGCCGAGCGCACCTGCGGAGAGCGGGCCGCCCCCCCTTTGCCGAGGGCGGGCCAGCGAGGCGCCGGCGCGAGAGTGCTCTGCCCCATCGACGGGGAGAGGGGCGCGCAGCTGGAGGCTGCCGCGGCCGCCCGCACCCGATCGCCCTCGTCCCGATGCCGGCGAGGGCCGCGCGGCGCGCGCGTCGGCGCGCCGCAGTGGGGCCCCGCGCGGTCTGGCCGACGGCCTGCGCCGCTCACCCCGGGCCCCCAGGTCCTCGTTCCCCACGCCCGCGACATCCGCCGATTGTTGTTGTTCAGCCTGCGGCCCCGGAAGGGCCTGACCGCTTGCCCAGGGGTGGCGTTTGGTCCCAGTCCCACGTTTGGTGCAGCCAACCCGTAGAATAAGGATGCGCGGGAAAAGCACTAGGGCATTGGAAGGCCATGTCGACACATTGCGAGCGGGGCGCGGCCAGCGAAAGCGGCCAAGGATGGGCCGAACGGGCAAGGATGCAAGGGCAACCTTGGAAAGTGGCTCATCCTTACAATGTGCGTTCACTGAAATCCTAGGGCCCGCAATCAACCCCCGTAGGCCCGAGATCGATGATACATATCTGTTCAAACGAACCATATCGTCGGAGATCTCGACCCCTTCCTCCCCCAAACCTCCTCGTGGGGAGAAAAGGTAGGTCCCCGCTGCTGGCCCGGCGCGGGTCCGCCTCTGCGGCCGCCACAAGGCCAGGCGCGGCGCGCCTGGAGGAAGGGAGGGACCCCCCCTTCCTCCCGACCTATATGCTCGACCCTCTTCCTTCGCATCCTCCTCAATATCATCATCAACCCTATCTCTCCTCCTGCTCCTCCTACGTATGCTCCTCCTCCTCCTCCTCCTCCTCCTCTGCCTCCTCTTTCTCCTCCTCCTCCTCCTCCTCCTCCTCCTCCTCCTCCTCCTCCTCCTCACCACCACGTCCTCCTCCTCC